CAATTCCATTGTACAGAGCAGGTAAGTGTAGACATGTTTGTTATGTTTTTTAAAAGAAAAAAATTGCCTTTGCAATCACTTTAAAGCCCAGAAAAAAACTTACCTGAATCCGCTGTCATGAGATCCTTTACGGCTTCTTCTAGAAGTGTGAACTGGCAATTGAAAGCTTCTTTCTTCAGTCTCCACTGCTTAATCAACCAGCCGTGTGTCCACCTCTCATCGTGACATCACTCTTGAATGCTTCGGGACTATTTAGGAGAATCTGATGACGGACGTATGTGGCAGCTAATTGGCAGCTCCCATGGCACCAGTGAGAGATGTGGGCATTGCATATCAGACCCTCTCATACTACAGAGCAAGAGAAAAAAGACCTTCTATGTGATGTGACAGAAGGTTTAGGTACGTGATTGTGGGTTTGAGGTATACTTTATTAAAATAAAAGATATAGATCAAATGCAGTGAGAGAGGATTTTAATTTTATTTGCTCCCTGTGGATATACTTGAATTGATTATTTTTATATACAGAAAGCATAAGTATCTAAATCTGCCTTTATAATAGCTCCTTGTAATGCATTCGAAAGCAGCTCTTACAGACAGCTCTTTAGAAACAGAGGGCTATCAGCAGGTACTAATCAGAACTGTATTGCATTGCACAGTGTTATCAGTCTAACATTGGGTACATGCTTACAGGAGAGGAAAGCACAGGGATGACCCCATACAGTATACTGTATATGGGTTACTGCTCCTTCATTGAGTAGTCAGCAGGGTGGGGAGGGTAATAAGGAAGGGCTGCTTCAGCCACATTTACAATTTTTGTTCCTGTAGTATGCACATGCTGGATGGTTTCATCTGCAACACATGTTATGACATATACTGTGTGTGATGTATACGACTGAGATAAGGAGATTAGGATTTTTTTGCCTGGAAAAATATACTAACTGCCTCTACTATATTATCCCACCCTCCTAAACTGATCTCTGAGTTGAAAAAAAGGAAAACTCTAAAGGCCCTTTGCACTTACCTAAATCTGCAGTCATGTGATGCTGCAGTCCCTTGCACCTACACTGCTAGATTAGAAGTCCCCTGCTTCTAGAAAAGGCAGACTTAGGCCCCTTTCACACGGGCGTTCCACATGTTCATTTTTCATCTGTCTGTTTACGGATGAAAAACGAACACTCATGTATTTCTATGGACTAGCGGATGTAAACGGATGATCATCTGTTTACATCCGTTAATGTCCGCATCCATTAACATTCGTTTTTTTTTTTATGGAAGAAAACCCTATTTTTATTTCATTAAAAAAACGGAATGGACGAAAAAAACGGACGTAAATGGATGTAAACGGTTGAAAAATGGATATAAAGAGACAAAAAGGGATGAAAATCAGATGTAAACGGACAAAAATGGATGTAAGCGGATGAAAAATGGCCGAGAGTGGCCAAAAACAGATATAAAAAACAAATGTAAATGGCCAAAACATGAATGTAAACAGATGAAAACGCATAGAAAATGGATGTAAATTGATGAAAAACAGATGAAAAACGGGTGTAAAGTGATGAAAAAACGGATGTAAACTGATGAAAAACTGATATGAACTGATCTGTATTTAAATGTGGCTGAACTGATGAAAAAAAACAGAATGCCCGTTTAAAAGGGGCCTTATTTAACAGTATAGCAAGGCAAGGAAAAAAATGCACAGAATGGGTCAGGAGGGGGTGGAAGGAGGGGGTCAATATTTTCCCTTTTAGTCAGTAGGTCACAGACTCTCCCCCCCCCAGTCACAGATCCTGTTACAGACAGTTAAAGTAACGTAAGAATGTTTCTCAGTGGAGGAGGAGGGGGACATTTCCTCACACGGAGCTTTTTCACAGCGGCTTCACAGAAGACCACAGAATCTATTAAACCCCTGCAGTGTTGGAAGTTCAGAGTCAGGAAGAGGACGGGACATCCCTGTAGTGAAGATTTCTACATAATCCAGCTGCCTACACGATGTGGGACATACTTCACGTGACAGGATATTTATCTCACTAAAGCTATGGAGAATGTTCTTTTTTAGGGTTAAACTTCAAGATAGTAATTAAAGTGATTCTAAAGGTTAATTTTTTTTTGTAAAATAACAAACATGGCTATACTTACCTACTGCGTGCAGTTGTTTTTTCACAGAGCAGCCTGGATCCTCCTCTTCTTGGGTACCCCGCAGGCGCTCCTGGCTCCTCCTGTCTGTCAGATGCCCCCACAGCAAGCAGCTTGCTATGGGGGCACCCGCTGCTCTGTGTGTCCATTCACACAGCCTCACCTCCTCTCCTCATTGGCTGACTGGTTTTGATTGACAGAGGTGGGAGCCAACGGCTTTCGCTTGCTGTCTCAGCCAATGAGGAAGAAGCAGAGACCCGGGACAGCTGAGGCTCTCATTCACATCGCTGGATGGCGATGGGGCTCACTTAAGTATTGGGGGGATGCTGTACATAGAAGGTTTTTTACCTTCATGGATAGAATACATAAAGATAAAAAACCTTCAGGCTTTACAACCTCTTTAAGTTTCCTTAGTGATATTCACCTCCAAACCACTTCATACTTACCTCCTAAGTTAACTAAAGTGCAGACCCAACAGGAAGGGATGACCGTCTTCAAACCACTCCATTGTATCTTTCTCTATGTATAGCATACTAAAGTATACTTTCTACAGCATGTGTCAAACACGAGGCCCGAGAGCCAAATCCAACCTATCAGACCATTTCATGTGGCCTTCGTACCTTGCCTGTTGCTGCGGCACCCCCCTTGTCTCTGCCCCACCTTGTCTCAGTAGTCGGCAGCAAAGAGGAGGACAGAACTGCTCCACCAGATCCTGTGCTTTTCTGTGCAGCTACGGACCCCTTCCTCCACCTCAGCAGTCAGCAACAGAGAGGAGCACAGAACTCCCCCTACATATCCTGCACCTCCCTGTGCAGCACCTCTTTCGTCTCTACCTCCCCTGGGCCCAGCATTCAGCAGACTCAGGAAGATGACTCCAACCCTCTTTGCACTACAGGGATGACCTTTAGCGAAACACTCCATTCTAGCCTAAAGTAATTGTAAAGGGTAAAATTTTATTAAAAAAAAAAAAAAAAACCCCAAACTTGTCATACTTACTTGCTCTGTGCAATTTTTTTTAAGGGGGGCAGCATGCAGAAGGTTTGTTTTATCTTAGTGCAGATAATGTATTATTGAAAAAAAAATCTGCCTTTAGCACCACTTTAATTTATGCACCATGGGCTAAAATGTACATTCTGCAAGGTGGACCTTCTGCAGACCACGCATGATGACATAGCCCTGCAGGGACAGTATGTGTGTGGTTTCCCATGTTCTGATAACCTGGCTTTGAAAAAAATGAGGTCTGAAGTCTGAACTGGGTACATGATAGCTCCAAAACTAAGAAACTCATAGTTTAACGTGTTTTCAAAAAACTTTTTTTAAACCCTTAGCACCAACACAAATATGGGGTCCCACTGCACTGGGCTTTTTGCCGTGGGGCCACATATTTGCATATCTCCCTTTGTGCTTGGAGCGCACTGAGAGCCCCGGGTCCCGTACTAATGACTGGTACCCGGAACTACCAATTCTGGGTCACCTGATCACTGTGATAGCCTCTGATTTGCAAAAAACAAGTGTGTAAAAAATAAAGAAAAATAAAAGAAAAGGGGCTAGTAATTGGGTCACGTAAGGGTCAAAGGTCAGGGTCAAAGGTTAGGGTCAGTATATTTTGGACAGGATTTTTTTCATTTTTTAAAATTTAGTATCAGTGTCAGTGTTTTAGGTAGAAGATAAAAAAAAAAAGCGATATGGGACTATTGTTTCTGGGTTGTACTATGAGTACAAACAACAACTAACATACGCATATGTGGTATTGCTGCGACCATCAGGAGAAGGAGAATTTATTTTGAGTTGATCTTTGGTGGTAGGTTATGGTAGTAACAAGAAATATACAGATAAATTAAAAAATATATATGTGTTTTGTACTGTTTTGGGCCAGTTTTCCTTTGATTATAAAAAAAAAAATTGGGAGATATCCATAACTATTTATGACCAAATGAAAACCCAATTTGTCCTAAAGAAACAAGGTATAATTCACCTGGATGTACATAGTAGTTGTGATGATATGTACGGTTTTAGTAACACATGTCAAAGTTGTAAAATTGTGCTTAGGCATTAAGATTAGTTTTACCCTTGATGATGGAGTTATGGCGTGATGGAGTTAATCTGTATTGTGGTTTTTTAGAAACCAAACTGAGTTAGAAATCCCCTTTAGATTCCTTGCATATTATATTCAGTCATAACTGAAAAATGATCATGCTCCAAATTGCGAAAGCAATTTTACAGAGTTCACAGCGATGTTATTCTGTTCTCTTATTTCATCTTACAGGACTGTAAATGTGGATCTGCTCAAAGCATCTTAATATATCACAATTGTTACTTTTGCATCCACCTCCGTGGTGCAGCGAGAGTTAGATTATACTAGCTGACATTTTCGTATATGAGATGCAATTGAGAAATGTGAATTTTAATAAGAGCTGGCTGTGATTTATAATTTATGGAACACCTTGCTTGGATTCTATTTATTTCAAGCTGGTGAAGGTAGAATTAATAAATTGGGTTTTTGTAATATATCTTTTTGTGTACAGCACATAAAGAAATGACTTTTAATTTCAATATTTAAAGCGGACCTCTTACCCTCATTCCAAAGCAGCCTGTTTGGGAACTGAGGAAAACTGACAAAGAATGCAGCCTGTCATTTTATTCAAAGTAGATGTCTTCACTTCTTTGATAACGATACACCAAAATGTACCCCTTGCCCAACTGCAGTAGTACCTTGAAATGGTACCCACAATGACGTGCAGTTTCCTTGCTGTCAATACTTACTTCTCAAATTGATTCTTGGGTCCCTGTGGAACCCCCTTTGTCCCAGGCTGCAATGGAGCCTTACTGAGGTACTGAACTGAGGTTAAAAGTGTTACTAAACCCAGGACCCTGCATTCACTGTATCTGCTCTCCCACAGTACACAGAATACAGAAATGCTATTATTTTAGTAAATATAAACTGCTATATACCTTTTCTCATCAGCAACTACAGCAGTCTTGTGACTTCAGCAGAGCATTAGCTAAAGCTTGTAGGAGGAGTTTTCTTTTCTGCTCTAGGAGGATGCAAAACCCCTGACCTCTCTCTGGACAGGGCTGATTGGCCCTGTGCTGATCACATGCATTCTACCAAGAAAAGAAAAACCTCTAGCAGTACACACTAAAACTGAGCATGTGCATGTGACTACGGGTTCAGTCTGTCTTATCAGGTGGACATTTGAATAAGAGGAGGGGCAGAGAAAACAGGACCAAATGGCCTTATTACACACTGCAGAGGATTAACCCCTTAGGTTCCACAGTGAGTATAACAAGCATGCTTTACTGCACATACAAACTGATTTTACTGTTGTGGGTTTAGTAACACTTTAAACCCCATCCCTCTCAGTAGGGATGGGGTTTAAAGTGTTACTAAACCCACTCAAGCCTGCAATAGACAGATCAAAATTTATCCGGTTCAGTTTGATCCATGTATGGGCAGGCTGCTTGTACTGAAGTTGATCAACATATGTACAACCAGCCTGTCTGTTTTTTTTTTTTGTGCAGTCACTGTTGGCGGCTATTGACATTACATTCTGAGGTCTGCGAAATCTCCCACTGTCAGAATACAAAAGCTCAGTGGGATGCAGGGGCGGACTGACTACTCATGGGGCCCCCGGGCAATAGGGGATCATGGGGCCCCAGTGTCCTTGCCCAAACTCAAAAAAGCCTATGAAAAAGGTACCAGGGGCATCTCATGGGGCCCCCTACTGACCCCGAACCCTCGGGCAGTGCCCGAGTTTCCAAATGGTCAGTCCGCCCCTGGTGGGATGGATTTCCCCATCAACACTGAATGTGTTGATGGGGGAGAGGAACAATATTCTTTCCTGCAACCACGAGTTGCAGGAAAGAATATTGTTCCACTCCCCCATCAACACATTCAGTGTTGATGGGGAAATCCATCCCACTGAGCTTTTGTATTCTGACAGCGGGACTGCAGGAAAGAAAATTCCTTAATGTATAGCCTGTTTGAGGCTCAACCTTTGTCATCAACTTTCCCGTGTCATGGCTTCTACTGTCCTCTGAAGATTTGGCATACATAGAGAGTTAGGCTTAGTGGCAGGAGCGGTAGAGGTAAGTACTTACTCTTAACTTGCACATATGTCAAGATGCCCTATGCACCATGATCCTGTGGTCCAAAGGCCTTCACACATTATATCAGAATACACCAAGTTTGTAAATATTTTTATTGACACATTTTAGGTGGAATTCTGACACCATAATGAAGTAATGACACTACAGGTGATTGTTTGTATTGGGCCTGTGTATAGGGATGGTGATTGTTAATTGAGTTGCTTTTTACTCATGTGCCTTGATGAATGGGGTCCTGTGAGGCCACACAATACTGAACTGGATTGATGGTGTGATCCTCACTGTGCAATGCAGAGTTTTTTTGCATCAGCTGGTATGCTGGCAGCATGTTTTATCCAGCATCCAAGAGGCTTCACAAGAACATAGGGATCAATTTGTAGACTAACTCAGGAACCTACAGCCAGGTTTTGAAATAGACGTATTAAGGGGTCATGCCAAGCAAAGTGACTCTGCATCTACTGTATATCTCAGGGACCAAACAATATCTTTCATGCTTCTGTCCAACTCCAAATAAAACCCAAATGCCAGCTATGGGGCAAATGTTGACACTACATTTCCACAATGCAGCTATCAGGACCTGAGCATTGCCAGTTGGAAAAGGGAAGGTGTGCCCTAAACCTGTGCAAATACAAATTTTTAGAAAAGTTGATATTTGTTTAGCATCTTTGGGGGGTGAGCAACCGATTAGGGCAATGCAGCATTTAGGCTACATTCACCCCTGAGCGTTGCAGTTTTGAGCTTTTTATTTCAAGCATTTTGCCACGCATTTTTTTCAGGTTTTTATACAGCTTTTTTTAAAAGCGTTTTTGAGCTTTGGCGTTTTTTTTAATAGCCAATAGACAAAAATATAATCTGTTTCATCATTTTGCTGCTATGTTTTTCAGCTTGTTAGTTTTTCATCAGCTTTTCTTTTCTATTATATATTGTTTATTTGCTTATTTCATGATGACTATTATTTATTTATTTTATTTAATATTCAATTGTTATTATTTTTTTTATTATTATTATTATGTTATTATTTTTAAAATTCCTGCATTTGAACAGGAAAACACTCAAAAACACACAAAGACACTCATAACCATGCAAATTGAGCATTTTAATGCATCTCTATGGAGAAGAAAACTCTTCAAAAGTATGTCAATCTGCCCGAAGAGAGCTACAAAAGTAGCTCCAAAACTTGTATGAGGTTTAGACGTTTGGCTTCAGGTGACTTGGAGTGGAGATGTGAACCGTCTCCATAGAGAATAATTGGTAATTCCTCCCCGAGAGTTTTGGAGCTTTGAGCGTCGTGCTACAAAACACTCAGGTGTGAATGGGGCCTTAAGGTACTATGTGACAATGCAAGGGGTGTTCTATGCTGGGGCGGACTGACCATTTGGAAACTCGGGCACTGCCCGAGGGCCCGGGGTCAGTAGGGGGCCCCATGAGATGCCCCTGGTACCTTTTTCATAGGCTTTTTTGAGTTTGGGCAAGGATACAGGGGCCCCATGTTCCCCTATTGCCCGGGGACCCCATGAGTTGTCAGTCCGCCCCTGGTTCTATGCAACTTCAGAGCCATCCTGCTTTGGCATGACCCGGTGATAAGTCTGCAGGGTGTTTTTTGCTTTTTGAGACCTTGTGACAAATTTGCTTTAAGTTTCCTCTTTTTGAAGTTTCAGAAAGATCCTTCTTTTCCTGAAAATCCTTCTCATCTTTAATAATGGCTTTGCTAAATTTGAAAGCATATATTCTAAACTATTTGCACATTCTTAGAGCAATTTCTAAAGAATCATGGTCACCAGTTTCAGTCAAATCACCGTAGACTTTATCTAATATAGTGATCTTCTGCTGTAACTTTGTTATGCACTTCAATTAAAATAAGCCTGTTACATTTAGCCTCTTAGCCATGTGTCGTATATCTGAAAATGTATCTTTAATGGACCTCTATTTGAAGAATATTATGGAAATGTGTAGCCTCTGTGCAGCCTGCTATCTAAGATAAGTGAGCTATTTCTCAGTCTGGAAATGGTCTATATTATTAGAGTGCTGAGCAGCTGCTCGATAACCTTATTTAAGGCCAGTTCATTTATTTCTCAGATGTTATGTTGTCAACGGCAGTGATATGGCAGCTATTTTCAGTAGGTAGATAATATTATTTCCAACCAAATAAGTTGCTTTATTCAATTAAGGTGATGGATTGAGCCAGATATTTTACTTTTAGAAAAGGCTTTCAATGTTTAACTCCCAGATCAATTTTGTCTTGTTGAAATATCAAGATTTTTTTGCTATGCAAAATGGTGTCACACTTATATCTTGTTTTGGGAAGGCTAAATCATTAAGTGAAATATGTCGTGTTTTTTTTTGTTTTGTTTTGTTACTTTTGGCACGCATTTCAGGTTGCTCCTGTCTTACTGAGCTGCTAATGGAAAATCTCAGTAGGTGAATTTGATGTATTACATTGGAGATTGTCAGCTTCCTGATTTCCTGCAAGTTCCTTCTCCCGCAGATGCAATTACGGATTATGAAATTTGGTCTCAGCCTTTAGATGTTTATTCAGATAGGTAGTTTCAGTTAAATTTGCTTTTGCTGCTCAAGAAAAAAAAACTGTTTTTTTTTTCTAAGTCTGTTGAAAGAAACTCAAATGAGTTGTGTGTATTTTGCCAAATTTAAGTTACTTCAGGGGTGATTATCTGGCCTTTTTCATAAGTCAGTGCAAAAGAGTGAAGAGGTGTTACATGGAATGACCTCCAGCAACCAGTCAGACTTCAGTATATGGGCATCATCAGATTATAATTCGGGATGAGCAAAATTGAGTTTTCTTTCTTCTAGAAACCTGGAGATTTTGGTAAAATTTTGCCACTATGGCAAAATGCACTAGGGTCATTGGGGTAGGTGAACTTAAAGTGTTACTAAACCTGTGACCCTGCATTCACTACATCTGGGCTCCCACAATACACAGAACATGGAAATGCAATTATTATAGTAAATATAAACTGCTAAATACCTTTTCTCATCAGCAGTATTGTGACTTCTGTCAGTGTCTGGCTGAGTACTGGTTAAAGCTTTCATTCTCCTCTGACTGTCCTATGAGGCTGCATAACTCCTCACCCTCTGTCTGCACAGTGCTGATTGACCCTACGCTGATCATATGCACCCTCCCAAAGAGAAAAAAAAACTCTTTAGCAATACACACTAAACTGATTATGTGTAGAGTGACTCCTAGAGCTCTGTACTATTAGCAGATGAATTGGGGACAGTAGAAGAATGGGAGGATCAGAGAAGACAGGAACAAACATCATTTTTACTCAGCGTGGAGGATTAACCCCTTTCGTTCCACAGTGAGTATAACAAGCATGCTTTACTGCATATACAGGCTGATTTTACTTTTGTGGGTTTAGTAACACTTTAATGTTTATACAAACGCTAACAATGAAGTTCTTTTATTTTACTCCCTTTTGGTCTGCTTAATATATAATTGAAGTGTTGTGTTACATCTGTTTAAAAAGGGAAAAAAGGTATGGTCATGTTATCAGTTAACATTGCTCACAGTTCTCTCTGTGAACCACAGAACACCTCCCCGCTATATTATGGAGATGAGGAGAGGGGGATGAAAAAATTGTATAATAAAAAATCTCAAGCAGCAGCAGCACATAAATATTGATACACATATTATATAAAGATCTCTAAATGAAATAAATTAAGATACCCTAAAACAGGGGTGTCCATTCTGCGGCCCAAGTGCCGCATGCGGCTCAAGATGCCTGCTAATGCGGCCCAACAAAAAATCGTAAACTTACTTAAAAATATTAATTATTTTTTAAATAAAAATGTGTTTCCACTTCGCAAACTCATGTGGTTGAAGAAAAATTTGATGGTGTCTCTTTACTGGACTTTTATAGGTTTTATCTTCCCAAAGAAAAATATCCCACTCTTCACAATCATGTCTTATTC